CCACCAGCCACTCCTTGGAAGGAAGGTTGGGCAATCCTACTTCCGTAGTGATACTGCCTCGGAAACCCAAGGAGGGGTCGCTATGAGTTGGGGCTGACTCGACGGCACATAACAACAACAACATTGCCTCAGAAACCCAAAGAGGGGTTGTTATTTGTAAGGAATATTATAAGAGTACAGTTAGTTTTAGACAAGCTGCCTTTACAAACTAATTTATCAGCATTAGTTATTCTTCCAAGTATTAACATAGCAAATTAATTTATCAATTATTTTTAAAGAATGAGTGTTCTAAGTTAACGTTTTACAAATTAATTTTAAAGAGCCGGTTTATTTAATCATTTGATTAAAATGTCTCTGAAAGAAATGATATCCTTATGTTTTTTTTCTATATAAATTTATTCTAATCGTAATTTTTCCATATCTTAATGACCTGAAGATTTGTCTCCATGCATAAAGCTAGGCTTCCAGGTATTAGTTTCCTAAGGCTGTGAAAGCAAAGTACTTCATAGCAAATAGAGTGGCTTAACCAACAGAAATTTATTTTCTCACATTTCTGGACACTACAAGTCCAAAACCAAGATTTCAGCAGGGCCGTGCTCCCTTTCAGTGTTCTATGAAAGAATCTTACCTGTTCCTAACTGCTGATGGTTGTTAACGATCCTTAGCATTCTTTGGCTTGTAGCTGTATCAATCCAATCTCTGCTTCCATTTTCACGTGGCCTTCTTCCTGATGTGACTTCTCTGTGTCCAAATCCTCCTTTCCTTTCTTTTATAAGGACAGCAATCAGTGGATTTAGGGCCTTTTTTTATTTGTATAATTTTATGAAAACAGTTCTTTATATTGAAAACAAAACAAAACCAATATTTGTAATTCACAAGTAAGACATGGTTACATCACTAGTTGAGAATTTTATTCTAGATTTTGGATAGGGCATCATTTTCATAATTAGAATTAAGAGTTGATCCTGCTTTGCTTTTAACCTTGCTGCTTGAAAGCTCAGAGTCCAGTCTAAAACCCCATGGACAGCACTTACATTATTCTTACAGATGCATTTTATTTTTATTTGACTCTGGTATTTTTACTTTTATGTATATTTTATTATTTTACTTTACGTTTTGGTTGTAAGCAGCCTCAAACTCTTAGTCCTAAGAAGTAGAATTTAAATAAATCTGAGAGAAATGGTTAACTTAATTATTTATAGGAGGTAAATAGTAACCGTCCTGTCTATTTTCTTGGACTGAGTGAAGAAAAATTTACATTGCTTTAAAATAAGTGTTTTCTTTTAAAGTCTATATTGTTTATATACATATTACATGAAATAAATGCAAATGTTGATATTTCTGTGACTATATAGTTTTTAGTTTTTCTTTTCAAATTTCTTTTGTCTTGTTTGTTACCAGAGAACATTTCTACAAATTTTCCATCACAAAGGGGCTAAAACACAATACAACCAAGGACATATAACAAATGAAGAGTTTAGAGTTGCTTATTATTTTATGGTAATGATTTATAATCATACTATGCAAATCATAGTATATAATCAAAAACACGCTGGTGGTGCAGTAGTTAAGTGCTTAGCTGCTAACTGAAAGGTTGGCAGTTCGAATTCACCAGCTTCTCCATGGAAGAAAGATGTGGCAGTCTGCTTCTATAAAGATTTACAGCCTTGGAAACCCTATGCGGAGGCTCTACTCTGTCCTACAGAGTTCGCTATGAGTCAGAATTGACTCAATAGCAAGGGTAATGTATGATCATTGTATAAAACAAGATTATTATAGTCAGCCATCTTGGGACATTTGTCCTAGCAATGCTTTACTATTTCATATTTAAATGTCTGGTCAATAATTGAGGTTACGCAGATTTGCACTAGACAAATCTGCTTTAAAAGTTCTTTAAAGTGCTGGAGAGCAAAGATGTCTCTTTCAAGACTAAGGTGCACCTAACCCAAGCCATGGTATTTTCAGTCACCTCATATGCATGTGAAAGCTGGACAGTGAATAAAGAAGACAGAAGAGTTGATGCATTTCAGTTGTGGTATTGGCAAAGAATACTAAAAGTACTATGGACTGCCAGAAGAACTAACAAATCTGTCCTGGAAGAAGTGCTGCCAGAATGTTCCTTGGAAGCGAGAATGGCCAGACTTCATCTCACCTACCTTGGTCATATTGTCAAAAGGGATCATTCCCTGGAGAAGGATACCATGCTTGGTGTGGTAGTTATATTTGTGTGTCAACTTGGCTGGGCCTGGATGAGTGGCTGGGCAGCTGGTGGTAGTTATTCCCCATGATGAGACTGGCAATCAACTCCATGGTGGGATCTACCACAAGCAGCTGCATAGTTGCCTTTGGGATGTGATCTGCTTCCTGTATATAAGGAGAAGCCTTGGGAATGGTCTTTAGCCTATGGCATGCTTGGACCCTGCATGTAGCTGTGTCATTGCTCAGCAGCCTGCTATGCTCTGCCAACTTTGGGACTTACAATGGACTTAAGTTAATGGCCTGCCATCTGGTTTGGTAACATTGGGACTGTGCCTTTTTACTTGTCAACCTTGGGGCTTCTCAGCTTCAGCAGCCAGCAGCTGTCTGAGTGAAGAAACACCTCTAGCTCCAGTGGACCAGGAGCAGGAGGCAGAGCTAGACCCCAAGGTTGAGGGGTTTACACCCAGCCCCTAGAGCCTGGCACTTTGAACTTGGACTTAAAGCCTCCAAATTGTAAGAGCAAACATTAAGGCCATCCCATTTGTGGTATATTTCTGTCAGAGCAGCACTAAGTAACCAGAACATTTGGTAAAGTGGAAGGTCAGGGAAAAAGGGGAATACCTTCAAAGAGATGGTGTAACACAGTGGCTGCCCTGACGCGCACAGGTATAGCAAGGATCGTGAGGCTGGCACAGGACCAGGCAGTGTTTTGTTCTGTTGTACACAGGGTGGCTGTGAGTCAGAACTGACTTGATGGCACCTAACAACAACAGATAAATGTTTATTTTAATATGCTCTTAAGGACCTTTCCTTCTCTTGTGGCTAAAGCAACGTTACACAAAGAAGCATCAGGAAGCCTTCAAATGAGTTTTAAAACCACTGTATTAAGATCCAGAATCTATAAATTCCAGTCAAAATAAAATACAGTAAGATACTGATGCCTAGGGTAAGGTACATTTATGTAAGTTATAATGAGAACTAATAATTATTCCTCTGAACAACTTTGGTCTTTCTTAAAGAAATTGGACTCTTTTGTGTTGTACTTTGAGTGTTTGCCAAATTAATCTCATGTATTCTTTTAAGTAGAATTATAGCAGCAAATTAGAGATTAATATAAATTCCAAGTTGTAGAATTTGAGACCTTGAGGGAACCTCAGCGATCTATGTTCACTTAAGGAAGCAATATTCATTGCTGTATTTTGTGACTGATGAGGTAATATAATAGATAAAAGTATTGTTAACTGGAGTTGGAGGTAATTGAGAGTCATAAACAGTTTGTTGATAGCTTTTGAGTTGTGCCACATAAGCAAATGAAGGGTCCCAACGGCTTTACTCCATCCACGTTGTCATTAAGGTCAACTGTACTTTAAGAATGCAGCCCTTTCCCAGTCTTATTTTCGGTGCCTTCCAACCTGGGGTGGAGGGGGGGTGGCACTCATCTTCCAGCACTAGAATGTGTAATACTCTGTGTCTATACATAGAGTTTTCTTTGGTTAATTTTCAGAAATAGAATGCCATGCCTTTCTTGCTACTCTGTCTTAGTCTGGAAGGTCCACTGAAACTTGTACACCATGGGTGACCCTGCTGGTATCTGAGATACTAGTGGCATAGCTTCCAGAATCCCAGCAACACACAAGTCACTGCAGTGTGACAAACTGATAGGTGGGTGGCGGATAAATATACATGATACAGAACTCTTAGATATAGTAACTACCAACGACAACTGGATGAGTGTTCTTGATTTGCATTGTAAAAGAGAAAGATTGATAACTTTATTGGTAGAAATTAATGATTAAACAGTGTAGTATAACTGTTAAAGTATAATTCCATGTCACTTTTTTAAATACTCTAGTAAATTGTTTTTCAGTGTTCTGCAGTGGTTTTTTCTTCCGCAACAAATACCTGTTGAGTATCTGCCACTGTTCTAGGGATTTAGTCCTACATTTTATTAGGGGCATATGAAATTTATAAAGTAGGTTTCAAAATTATGCTTTAATATAGGTAGATCTACTTACTAGAGCAGAAAGCATTAAGGTTCATCACTCCCTTCAGTTATCTGAGAGTCTATGAGATTAAAGAGGATACAGTTTTATTCTTTATCATTTCAAAAAGCCAAGTCAGGACTATTTAGAAGTTACAGAGTAGCAGATTTAACTCAAAGCTCAGAAAAATCTTGCCACTATGAAAGGTATTCTACAAAACATTGTACATTTATTCATAAGGAATGAAGTGCCTCTGGGAAGGTATTTAAAACAAAGAATGAAAGGCACCAGTGTACCCTTCCTACACTTAATGGAGTATTTGAACTTTCAGTGGGAGGGAGGCTGTGGATAGTATTCAGGAGGTCTGCAAACTTGAATATAAAAAATACCTGCATTTTTATATTCACTAACTTCTAAGTAGGGAGTTCTGGTAGTGTAGTGCCTAAGGCACTTGGCAGTTCAAACCCATCAGCCACTCCTTGGAAGGAAGATGGGGCAATCTACTTCTGTAGTGATACTGCCTCGGAAACCCAAGGAGGGGTCGCTATGAGTCGGGTTCGACTCCATGGCACATAACAACAACAACAACAACTTCTAAGTGGCATCTAATATTTCTTTCAATTATGAATGTAAGCAGCAAACTAGAGTAGTATTAACAGGTACACCTGTGACTTTGCCTCCACTCAAACTTACAGACATTTTCAAATCACTTTAGAGTGGCTATACATACCACAAAATGTTTATTGCCATCATTACTTCAAAATTATGATTAACTGAGTCATCACTAGAACCTGTTATTTAATGTTTTAATAAAGAATATATGCATTTTTTAAATATATTTTGATACTTGTGTTTCTATATAATGGGTTTTCTTTGTAAATTCTATATTGTTTTATGCATTCAAAAACATTCTGAGAAAGGTCCATAGGCTTTGGTGTGAGAATGGTTCATGGAATCAAAAATACCAATGATCTAGATAGTTAATACTTTGTGGAATGATACTGATGAAGTCTTGGAAGCTTGAGATTTTAAACGGCTTTTCCAGTGAATGGGTTCTGCTGTATACCTAAGTACCTCAGACAAACCTCCTTCCTTTTCTCCCAAATCCTGGAGGCTTCTTATATGGTCTCCAGTACCAGTGGTTCAAGTCAGGAGCAAGAATGTGTATGTAAAAGAGTGAGGGGGAGAGAGAGAGAGAAAGGGATAGAGAGATGTGTTTTACTCTGTGTGTGTAGGGATATACGATCCCTTCCCCCCCCAAAAAATAAATACTGTACTTCTAGTATTTATTTTGGACTGAACTCTGGAGTGTGGTGTAAAAGAACAACACTTAATGAGGAGGGCCATTCATTTGGCTTTAATAATGTGCTCATTTTTATTTAGTTTTCTGAGGTGTCTTCTTTTTTTTTTTTTTTTTTAGAATCCTGATGTAGTCCACCAGAAGGAAGCAACTTCCTCATCAACGTTTGCAGGTATTCGACCTACACGAGTTGTATCTTCAACTTCTGAAGAGGAAGAAGCATTTACTGAGAAATTTCTTAAAATTAATTGTAAATACATTACCAGTGGCAAGGTAATGAATGGTTCTTTAGAGAAAAATGTTTAAGCATGCTTTGTTTACTACTAAAATATGGCGGTTTGACATCTGCATTTTAAGTTACCAACATCAGCAAATGCTCGACTATATAGAAAGGGTATTGATGATGCTGTCAGTTTGGGTGTGTGTGGTTCTTGCTCACAATTTATAATCTGGTGCACTGTTAATGTTGTTAAAATAGAGGGATGGATGGGTATACACAAAGTTGTAATAGTGTTCAGCTGATTTGCTATTGGTAGAATATGTCAAAAAGCACATACAAAAAGGCTACTAGACACTTCTTGGAGTGCTAACTCTAACAAACTTAGTATAAGAAATATATAGAAAGGTAACTAATATTCTGGAATGTTGTTGTTGTTTTGTGCCGTCGAGTTAAACCCGACTCATAGCGATCCCTCCTTGGGTTTCCGAGGCAGTATCACTATGGAAGTAGATTGCCCCATCTTCCTTCCGAGGAATGGCTGGTGAGTTTGAACCACCAGCCTTCTGGTTAGCAGTCAAGTGCCTTAGGCACTACACTACCAGAGCTCCTAATATTCTGGAATAGCACCTAGTATATTTGAGATGCTATGAGAAATTTTAATTTTTATCAGCTCAAAATAATCCTTTGAGATATTGAGTCCTATTCTTTCTTCACAGGAAAAAAGATAAAAATTGAAATTCATAAAAGGTTAATAATAGGTCCAAAGTTTCTTCAACCCAGTTTGAATCCTTCTATTTACTACACCTTGCTTCATTTCTAAGCACAATCTTCTAATCTATATAGAGAATATAGTAAAATAGCACAGAGTTGGAAAATAAACTACAAGTATTACTTAGATAGTGAACTACTGTATAATATGATATTGGCTTCCAAAGTCACACGTGATAACCACTACTTTATAGTCATAATTCATAAATTACTAGTATTTGTAATTTAGGCATTTAATGCTCTAAGTTTTCCCAAGTATTACTTTTGCTTTATCCCATAAATACTGATATGCAAGATACTTTCATTTTAATCCAATTCAAAATACTTTCTAATTTCTCCTTTCACCCATAAAATATTTAAGAATGTTTTAGTTTCCAAATATTTGAGGATTTTCCAGATACCTGTCTGTTGTTTTCTAATTTGATTCCATGTGGTTAGAGAACATGCTTACTACTGTTGGAATGCCTAATTTATTGAGATTTGTTTTATGGTCCAGGATACAGTCTGTCTTGATAAATGTTAACATGTGTACTTGAGAAGATGTATTTTCAGGTTTTGTCAGGTGGGGTGTTCTGTAAATGTCAATTAAGTCAAGTTGGATGATGGTTGTTCTTCTATATCCCTACTGATTTTCTGTCTATTTATCAGTTTTTGACAGAAGGTTGTTAAAATCTCCCACTGTCATTATGAATTTATCTATTTCTACTTTCAATTCTGTAAGTTTTTGCTTCATGTATTTTGAAACTGCTGTTAGGCCCAAAAAACATTTAGGATTATCTTCTTGATTAATTGATTTGTTATTTTGAAAGATCCTCTTTATTTTTGGTAATACTCTTTTCTTCCAAAATCTGCCTTATCAATTACTGATACATAGCTTCTTTCTCTTTCTTTTGATTAATGTTAAGGTATTTTAGTTTACATTCTTTTGCTTTTAATCCATTGGTGTCTCTAAATTTAAGGTGAGTTTCTTGTAAGCAACATATACTTGCATCTTGCTTCTTTAGATAATTTGTCTTTAATGACATTCTTGATATCATTCATAGATAAAGCTGCCAGCTTACTATTTGTTTTCTATTTGGTCCATCTGTTCTTTGTTCTTTTTATTGTTTTTATGCTTTCTGTTGAATGTGTGTATGTATATGTATGTGTGTGTGTGTGTGTGTGTGTGTATATATATATATATATATATATATAGTTAATGATTTCATTTATGTGTATTGTTGGCTTATTAGCATTAACACATTGTTATTTTAGTGACTTTTAGGGTTTATACTATTTATCTTTAATATATCACAGTCTCACTTTATGTAGTATTATACCACTTCACATATAAAAACTCACTACCGTAGAGTCAGATCTGACTCACAGCAACCACTCCTTGGGTTTCCAAGGTGGCATCTCTATAGAAGTAGATTGCCCAGCCTTCCTTCCGAGGAGTGGCTGGTGGGTTTGAACCTCCAGCTTTCTGGTTAGCAGTCAAAGGCCTTAAGAACTACGCCACCAGAGCTCATTTTTCTTTCCCAGCTTTTATGCTATTATTGTTTTACCTTTTACTACTACAACTGTTGTATCTCCAAAATACATTGTTAGCATTTTTGCGTTAGAACCGTTTATACTTTTTCTTTTTTTTTAATTGTAAATATATAGTTAACAAAATATTTGCCATTCAGGCATACTTTATATGTACAGTTCAGTGACATTAATTATATTCATCAGGTTAGAATGAGAAGCTATTAATACTAAAGAGAATTCTTTGCTTATAGTTTCTGAAGGTCATGTGGATTAGTAAGATATTCTTGGAACTGATTTTACATAGTCAACCCTTTTGATTTATGGAGAATAGCATCTGACAGAATATCTCAAAAAGCCCTGTCTATATAGAAACCTTATTTATGAAAAGGGGGAAGGAAGCTTGTAGGATGTATAAGTATATTTTTTCAGTAATAGAGCATAAGAGTGGATTCCTGGAAAGTAACATTAGGAGAGTGATTACTCTGTTAAATAGTAGGGCTTCAGGCCCATTTTGATCCAAGAAGTAGAAGCACAATTTTGACAGGCTTTTCAAATGACTTATATAGTTACACTACTAAAGTTATAGTACTAATATTTATAGAGAGTTACAAACATTATCATTACACCTGGGCCTTTTCAGTCATACATTACTAGTAATCATATTCTTTGTGAAAATCTTCCAAAGTTAAATATAAAAAGTAATATTATAGTAGTAAACCAGAAATAGCATACTCATTTGAAACTAATACTTAGGTAAAAATTGTAAAATCAAGACCTTAAGTGTTCAGAGGACACTTGATTGATTGCTTCGTTTTGGTTCTCAAACAAATTTACAGAAGTTAGGGGACAGGAAAGTATTCAAAATTGGAAACCTTTAAGATTTTCTATATTGTATATAGTCTACTGTTCATTATCTCTCTGTTTATTGGATTATCTCTGGCGATGTTCCCTACATCATACTTTATGATCTCTCATTGGCTTGAGTTGGCATATGCTCCAAAAATACAAACTAATGTAGATGTATGTGAATCTAATCAAAATATTAGACGAATAGACTAGCTCATATAAAGTTATTCTTATTTAGGTAGTCCATGGTCTGAACTGAAAGAGGTGCTATTCAGAATTTCACATTGATATTTTTCCCACCAAAATAAGCCACCACTCATCTGTCAGCTTGTGTGTTGCTGGGAGGCTGGAGGCTGTGCCACCAGTATTTCATATACCAGCAGAGTCACCCATGGTGGCCAGGTTTCAGCAGAGCTTCCATACTAAGACAGACTCAGAAGAAGGAAGGGGCCATCTACTTCTGAAAGAATTGGCCAGTGAAAACCTAATGAATAGCAGTGAAACACTGTCTGATATATTACTAGAAAACTTTATGAATAACTCTGAAACAATGTCTGATACAGTGTTGGATGGTGAGCCCTTGAGGTCAGAAGGCACTCAGAATATGACTGGGGAAAACCTTACTCCTCAGAGTAGAGCCAACCTTGATGATGTAGATGGAATAAAGCTTTTGGACCTCCATATGCTGATGTGGCACAATTCAAAATGAGAAGGAACAACTACAAGCATCCATAAATAATCAGAAAATGGAATGTACAATGTATGAATCTAGAAAAATTAGAAGTTGTCAAAAATGAAATGGAACACCTAAAGATCGATATCCTAGGCATCAGTGAGCTGAAATGGACTAGTTTTGGCCATTTTGATTTGGACAGCCATATGATCTACTCTGCCAGGAATGACAAACTGAAGAGGAATGGCATGGCATTCATCATCACAAAGAATGTTTCAAGATCTATTCTGAAGTGCAGTGCTGACAGTGATAGGATAATACCCATATGCCTACAAGGAAGACCAGTTAATCCTACTACTATTCAAATTTACGCCCCAACCACCAAAGAGACTAAAGATTTTTACCAACTTCTGCAGTCTGAAATTGATCAAACACGCAAGCAAGATGTGTTGATTATCACTGGTGATTGGAATGCAAAAGTTGGAAGCAAAGAAGAATCACCGGTACTTGGAAAATTTGGTGTTGGTAATAGATACAACACTGGAAATAGCATGGTAGAAATTTCCAAGACCAATGACTTATTCATTGCAAATACCTTTTTTCAACAACATAAGCGGTGGCTATACACATGGATTTCACCAGATGGAGTACACAGAAATCAGATTGACTACATCTGTGGAAAGGGGCCATGGAAAAGCTCAGTATGTTCAGCCAAAACAAGGCCAGAAGCTGACTGTGGAACAGATCATCAATTGCTCATATGCAAGTTCAAATTGAAGCTGAAGACAATTAAAACAAGTCCATGAGAGCCAAAATATAACCTTGATTACATCCCTTCTGAATTTAGAGACCATCTAAAGAATAGATTTGATGCATTGAGCAGCAATGACCAAAAACCAGAATAACTGTGGATGACATCAAGAACATCATCCATAATGAAAGCAAAAGGTGATTAAAAAACAGGAAAGGAAGAAAAAAACAAAATGGATGTCAGAAAAGACTTTGAAACTTGCCCTTGAGCAGAGAGTAGCTAAAGCCAATGAAGAAATGACAAGATAAAAGAGCTGAACAAAAGATTTCAAAGAGCATCTCGAGAAGACAAAGGCAATTATTATAATGAAATGTGCAAAGACCTGGAGTTAGAAGAGCAAAAGAGAAGAACATGCTCAGCATTTCTCAAGCTAAAAGAACTGAAGAAAAAAATTCAAGCCACGAGTTGCAATATTGGAAGATTCTATGGGTAAAGTATTGAAT